ACAATGGGAGTATTCCAGTTTTTTAGAAATGTTTGCATGATGAAACAAGTAGTTAGAACAAAGAATAGAGTAAGAGAAAGCATAACCATCCCCAAGGGCTCTTGATAGGAAAGGAAAGATACAATCTTAGGGATGCACTGGTCATGGTTGTCACTTGGATACTGATCCTCTGGACATGGGTCACAATGAGCTGCATCTGAACAGGACAAACAGAATCAGTGGCTTTGGTCAAGCAAAAAGGATCCCTTGATTAATGTTTTTAAAAAAGAAAAGAAAGAAATGAGAAGAGAAGAGAAGCAATATTGTGCATAATTAATGCTGGACCAAAATTGCTGTCATTTGTATGTATTGTCTCTTAGGTTGTCATCCCCGACCTGCTTTGCTGGATGTATTTTTCATTTCATTTCTTTTAATTTCATTTCTCCACCACCTGTAACCAAAGCTCTTTGTTCAGTTTACAACAAAGTATGACATGAAAGTCAACAACAGTTATGGAAAATATACAACATAATACACTCTTTTATGTTTGTTTAACAGATTTAAAACTACATCCAAAAAAGAAAGAAAGGATGAAAGAAAGAACAGGAGAGAAGAGGAGAGGAGAGGAAAGAAACATTTTGTCCAGTAAATGCTAACTAGTTGTAAATAAGAGTAACTAGAATTAGCAACTAAACATAACCCCTGATCTCTGCAAATATTCATAATGTAATAGCAACTTAAGTTTGCCTATAGGCACATTCAACATGGCCCCCTATATTATTCTAGGAGCGATAGATATTCCCATAATCTTTGGTCAATTAAAATCAATAAGCATTTCATTTCTGTTGATTTTAATAAGAATTTGAGATTAATCCCAAAAGAAGAAGGAGGTGGTGAAGGAGGCAGTGAGAGAAAACATGAAATGTACTGTTATATCCTTTCCTAAGCCAATATACATGTGGGTGCTGACAGTCTGGTCTGCTTAAGTAGAAATCTTTTTCAAAACAAACATTGCCCTAACCAGGGTTAAAACTGCAGTGCCCTGCTGAGCATCTGTGTAGTGATCCCAAGGAATCCAGTCCTGCATAAGCACTGTGTAATCAGCTTCTTTCTTCTGAGTCACCTGCAGCAGCCAGAGTTTGAGCTGCACATGATGCAGCATGTGAAGTGAATGGTTGTTGTTTTTACAGCCAGGGTACTGTGAGCATTTGTGGAATTCCTCCTATCTCCTCTCACCTTCTAAGACAAGGCTGTCCACTAATGCTTGAGGATGCATGGAGGCTCATTGCAACTCTAGTGTTGGCCTCTTTCCTGCTCTCCTACATTCCCAATGAGAATTGTCTCTTCAAACTAGAGGAATGTGTGCAGGGGACAAATATGTCAGCGTGCAACCACTTGCAGGATGCAGTTCTTCTCTGAACACTACATGGAACTGAATGTGCTGGGAACTCTCTAGTGTATCCAGTCACATACCCATTTGGTTGGAATACGTGTCTTCTGGGCATGAAGTGCAATCATAGCAACACACTGGTTTTTCCTCCTGAATTATCTTCTTCTGTCCATGGTGGCAGCTTTCAACACATCTGGAACGAGGTGGCACCTATTCACAAAAAGAGGAAGGAGAATAGAAACAAAAGGTCTGATCTAGATTTAGTCACATTAGAGTGTGCAAATCAACCAGCAAAAAGTTAGCTCTTATTACAATGAGTCTCATTTTAATGACTTTACTCAAAATTTAATGAATGCTTGATTCATCCCATTTTTCTATGCACTAGATCAAGCTCCGTAAACTTAGAAACCTCTGATCCTTAATAGGACCTATAAGTACTACAGCCAGAAATAATGCCTTTCTCTTCTTCCTCTTCATTGCAGTTCTAGGCTTGTCAGAAAGATGGTGAGTCATGATGTCAGTCAGTGAAGCCCAACTCTCAGCACCCTTCTATTTACAGACATGAGAAAGAATTCTAGAAGACAGAGAGATTTCTCCATAATTTGATCATGAATAACAGTGACAGAACAAAAATAATCTTGAAATTATTATTATTCAGTTATGTTCAAGTGTGTTTTTGTCTTCATACAACTGTTGCAAGTCATATTCAACCTGTCTGCTATGTTTAGACAGTAGCCAACACATGGACAGAATTCCTGTAACACTGATACGGATAAGAAGCACCATTCTATACAGCAGTGCCTTGAAAATGTGCAATGCATTCCTTCCTGCTTGGATTTCAGAGGTATGAATATTCACTCAGAAGTATCCTCTATCATAGCTGCACTCTGTCAGAAATGGTTTTCTACCTCCTTAAATCCATTGTGCCATACAACGGCATCATCAGTGATGGTAAACTTCTGGCTCGGTAAAATCTCCCCAACCTTGACCTTATGGAAGGACTGATTGGGGAAATTGATCCAGTTGATGATATCATATCCAGTAGACAATTCTCCATTCTCAAAAAAGACTTCTAAGCCAGCTCCATTAT